CAAGCAGCATCAAAACCCCATAAATTTAACATGCAAAAAACATCTGAAAGGCATTTTACCCGAGACCCCCTCCTTCCCTCCAGACTTTACCTACTGTTTGTGCTGATGGAAAGACAACATTTGCTGAACTTTAAACGAGGCTTATTCCTCCCCCCGCCCCCTTTTTTTTTTTGTTGTATCTACTATTTGTAAACACTTGAATTTTTATATTTTTTTTTTTTATTAAAGGACTCTGTCCCTCCAGCCAAACACAACTCTGCAGTTCCTATGCTCCACACCCCCTCCTCTGTTTCTGAAGGTAGTAATTTCTCTTTTACAACCCCAGAGGAGCCCCCCCAGTTTGTTACCGCCCCGGTACCTCCGTCAGCGACAGCGGGGCCAGCAGCTAAAACCCAGCAGTTTTACACCAGCAGGAATTCTGGCACCTTGGACTGAGGCTAAATTAGTATTTATGCTCAAAGAATCGAAGAGAACAACAAACCCATCAATAAACCTGCTCTTAGGGCTTTCCCTTCCCTGGTCAGAATCTCCCACCCGAGCCCGGGCGCCCCGAGAGCAGGGAGGGGAAGAGCCAGGTACAACATCCATCACAGCACCTCAGCTCAGAGCTCCTTTTGGAAAAAAGAAAAACACCCTTTTTTTTTTTTTTCCTATAAATAATCTGCTGAAAAATAGCCCTTTGGCTCTTCTAGAAGAGCCAGGGGCAGGCAAACCCAGCCCCATAGCTTCACTGGATGTTGGGGATCTTGTAAATCAATTAAGACTTGTGCTACCAAAACCTGCCACGTTCTACCTGTCCCCAGTGCTTGTCCCAGACTGGAACCAGTGGGAAGCACTTCCCAGCATCAAACACCACCCGCCAGACAAGGCTACTTCTTGAAGGAACAATTGTTTTTATTAACATGGCAGAAAGGGAAGCTGTCCCCGAGCTTTTCACCAAATCATTAGTGGGGGTGATTAATGAAGATGCCTCGTAGCTCCCCAGCTTCACACTGCTGATACTTCTGCCCAGCCGCGTCCCGGTGGCACCACAGTGACAGTGACCCAAGGAGCAAGCCCAGCCAGCTCTTCCCCAGCGTCACCACCTGGAGAAGTGGTGGCTTTGTGCCTTCTGTGACACTGTCCCCACGCCAGGACATGGGCCCTCCCTCTCTGGCTCTCTGCTGAGCCGCGCTGAAACACTACACGCAGATTTGAAACACATTTAAAGGCAGAATTTGCTTTCTGAGCTGTTTTCTCTGGAGGTGAAGGAGACAGAAAAGGTAACGAAGAAGGCAGTGGGTGCCCCCACATCTCTCCAGACTGTGTTCCTGAACCCCCGTGTCTCGAGAACACCCCACCCCAAAGGCCAGGTCCTGGAGCAGGAGGAGCTGCACAGAATAAACGTTAATAACAAAAACAAAACGCACCAAAGTGTTTTTTGCAAGAGTTACACCGCTGGACAGACACTGTCACCGTCACCAAGCCAGGACACTCAGAAGCACTGGAATGTTTGTCAGCAGAGGCAGCCGGGCGTTGGGGTGGCCACCAGCAGAGCTCTCCTCCGGGCTGGAGCTCAGAGCCCCCCGCCGCTGCGGTCCACAGAGATCACCCCCCTCTGGCGCAGGTTCTCCTCCGCCGTCTTCATCAGCACGGCCAGCCGGCTCCCCGACACGTGCCCCTTCTGGATGGCGCTCATCAGCTGGGGACACAAGAGGAGAGCAGCCCGTTACCTCCTCTGGGGGACAGGGAACAGAGGCGGGACGTCCAGCCCCTCACCCACAGACCACAGGATACCATGCTCTGCAGGAGAAGGGGACAGACACCTGGGCCACTGCTGGTGACACCACCACACTTCCAGTCTAAACGGCCGAGTTAACACTCACTACCGACGCCTGGACATGGCAATTAATGAATATACAGAACTGATTTTTCCGTGTATAAAGCTGCATGGCTTCAAAGCCTCACCTCCAAGCCCATTTATGTTTTCCAGAAACACCCCGCAGGCCTGGCGAGGCGCTGGCAGCAGGAGGAGCACGAGAACCAAACGCCATCCAGTTGGAAGCTCCAGCGCAGACACCCCTCAGCACCAGGGGCTTTCAGTGACATTTAAGGATGTAGCAGAACCCAGCCATTTCACCAGTGCTTCGGGGTGGTTTTTTCTTTCTTTTTTTTTCTTTTTTTTTTTTTTTTTTCTTTTAATGCCCAAAAGCTGTAGGGACCAGAGGAACACCATTCCTGATCTCCCACCGCTCCCCACCATCCCCTCTCCCGTTCACACACCCTGCTTTGCAGAGACAGCACACTTGACTTCCACAACTCTTTCAAATCCAAATTCCTTTATAGACTTTTAAAACTAATTTGCCTTTAAGTCCTCGAGACTGGACTCGGCTCTATCTTAACGAACACACACTAGTGCTAAGGTTTTTAGTTAATTCTTTTTTATCCCACGGATAAAGTGAGCATTAGAGTTGAAATTACATGGGGGCGGCTGTCAGGGATGGCTGTGGAAAGCCACGGGCGCTCACACAATGCAATTTCTTCTGCCATCCAGTGCTAAGAATCCTTCAGATTCCTCCCCCTTTATAGGAAAATCTATTAATTATATCCACTCCTCCTGGTGACACCCGGCTCGGCCACCTGTCCTGGGTCTGCCCACTGTGACCACACACCTCGCTCTTTGAGGAAGGAACCACAAAGATCATGGCTGATGGTGCCACCACCATGAAAACTGGAGCTTCTGGCACGTGGGTCTGTCAGGACCCCAAAGGAAAACTGCTTCTGGGGAAAAAAAGCTTCCTCCTGATTTAAAATGGGTTTTTGGGGTTTTTTTTTTGCTTTTACACACCAAAACTAGCTCCTCTCAAGGTCCCCCTCCTTTCCTGAGCAAAGTGACAGCAGCATGAGGCTTCTGTGGCCAAGCCTTCAGAGAAACAGCCGCTGCCGCCTTACGCAGTGAAACTTGATAGTTTTCAGAAAGCAAACACCAAAGTATCGGGAACTGACTTAACAGAGCTATTTAAGAAAAAAAATTACACACTTAGTGTGTTTTGTTCCTTCCATGGCAACCTCCCGTTGATTTTATTACCGCGGTTCCCTCTCAGCGCTGGGCTCCCCGTGCTGCCCCCCCCTCTGCAGGTGCCAATTCTGCCTTAAATATTCAGCTTGGAGTGGGAAATGAGAGGGGAGGGCAGCAGGCACACAGCTCCACTGCAGCAACTGTGCCCCTACACCAGAACCTGCCTCCTGCATCACACACACCTGGTGGCTGGGGGCAGGCAGCCCCCGCTGAGACCGCTCAGCTGAGAGCAAAAACCCCAGGAAGCCACCAAAAAAAAACCCCACAGAAGAGGCAATCACTCGTTGTCTCAACTTCTTAACCACAATGTTCCCAAACTAACCAAATTAGAATTTAACACAGTAAATGGTGGGTTGCAATTACTAATTACAAGTTTTCACACGCAGAGGGATGTAAGAGGGAGACCCTTTCCAGTAGCCAGGAAACCAGCTTGGATTTTCTCTGATATTTGAATACTTAAAGCATAAACTCCCCAAATGGTTGTTGCTTTTTCCCCCTTCATGGTTTGTTTGGGGGTTTTTTCCCCCTTTCCCCTGAGTATGTTTCAGTTCCCCAGCTAAATCGCTGCATTTTAGGCAAATAAATAGTCCTTTTTCCAATGCTGGATACAACCTGTGAAATTTTTCTGCATTTAGATTCAACAACACTGCTCTTATCTCCAAGCTCATCTCGAGAGAGACAATTACCATTTCCTCTGCCTTGATCTTGTTTGTTTAACTTGACACAGTGAAGAAAGGGCTGACATTGACCAAAATCCCCAGCATTAATTTCTCTCCCATTGGGCATCCATCACTGCCACCGGGCAGGGGGACAGGGCTGTCCCTTCAAACACCGCACCAGGAGAGGCTCCACGAAACCAGCGCCGGCCGAACCCACAGTGAGCAGCACCCTGAATTTTTATTTTGCTGTGTATTTCATTTTATTTTAAAGCCCTGCAAAAAGCAGGCGTGTGGGTTGTCAGGGTATTGTCTTCCACACAAACTGAGACGGTGTTGGCCAAGCCAGGAGTTAAAATGGGATTTTATGGCCTGGATGGGCTTTAGCCACAAGCACGTTCTTTAAAATATTCAAAATAGTTGAGGAACCACTAATCACTTCACAGACCCAGATAAATGTCAGCGCATGTAACTCTGCCATGCACCTTCCAACGGACAACTGTAGCATTTTGGATATATTTAAACAGCATTTCTGTATTGAAAAAAACAAATTCAGGTCTATACTACGCTATTCTTTCTAAATTGGGCTTGTTCTTTGGGTCTCATTGTTTCTGCACATGAAAAAAAATAAATCCTTGAATTCCAAAGCTGCTGGAGGGTGGCTCTGTGTGTCACTGCTTTTGTGATCAGGCAAAGGGCATCGACACCACGACCCTCACCCAGTCTCCAGCCCTTCAGCCAGAGGGGAAAAAATTAAATCCCCACGTCTTTGTGCCTGGAAGGTACAGCTTCTCTCGTCACACACAAACACCCACCTGCAAAAACTCATTGAGCTCCACCTGGCCGTTTTTGTTGAGGTCCACTTCATTGAGGATGTCATGGAGTGTGTTTTCAGCGATCTGCACACTGATGCTCTGGGGGAAACAAAGCACCGAGGTTCATCAGCCCCATCCCTGGGGGCTGCCAGTGCCACGCTCCCAAACTTGGGAGAGGAGGCTCCAAGAGAAAACTAAAGGAACCCGAGGAAACGTTACCTCCAAGACACGCTGCACGTCCAGGATAGTAATAAACCCTTTCTTGTCCTTGTCAAACATGTGGAATCGCTTCTTGTACCTGCAAGATAAGGGTTATCAGTGGGGAAACCTGTGCTGGGAGTACGATGGGTATTAATTCCTGGCAGCACAGGGAGCTCTCTGACTCCACTCACCTCTCAATATCCGAAGGCATTAGGCTGATTTCAGAGCTGTCTGCTAACTGATCCGATTTTACTTTGTAGCCCATTTCATAATAGAGAAATTTTTTAGCAGCTTCCAATTCTTCCTACAAAAGAAAAGAAAAACTGTATTTCTGAGGAACAGCAAGTTCTTACACAATTGTTTTTAATATAATATTTATTAGCTTCTTCAGAAGAGCCTGCCTTGGTGGCACCAGGGAGCTCACAGCAGCTGCAGATGGTGTGAAGGGGGTTCCCTTCCACCCCAATGTCACACTGGATTCTCTGCAACTTCCCTTTTCCTACCCTATTGTCATGGAAGGGTTGATGTAGCTTTGTTGAACACAGTAAATTGTAAGAGCAAACCTCACTGGGTAAGGGTGAGACACCTCCAACTTCAGTCAAACACCCCCGACTGTGAGGTTGCTCAACACACTGGGAACAGCTCACAGTTCTCAGGGGGGCTGTAGGGTCACAGCAGGCTCCCCTGGCTGGCCAGACTCAAGTGAGCTCTTTCCAGAATGCTGGTCAAACTTCTACCTGGCTGGAAGGTTCTACACACAGCCCATCCCCTGTGGAGTGGCAGAGCCTGGAGAGCATCCCCAGGTTCCATTTTCTTTGGGGTGACACAAGCCCCAAAGCATGTGCCCCTTCTCAGGGGGCAGTGGGGTGGGTCCCACACGAGTCTGAGCACAGAGCTGCTGGGGCAAAGGGAGCTAACGCCGACCTGGGACATTAATTCAGGGCAGAGGAGGCTGCAAACTCAGTATCCTCCCTTTTCAAAAGACATAGCAGAGAAAAAGGAGTGACACAGGTTACAAGATCCTCCTTTTCTCAGGCAGATCTGTTGAAAAGCGTCACTGAACAAAATATTTGAGCAGGGATGGGATGGTAATGCCAGGTCTGCTTTAAAACAGGGAAAACCAGGCTACAGATCCTGACTCTCCCCTCCGCCCCCAGCCAGCACCGACTCATCCCACAGCTATTTTGATAAAGTCTTTGTAATGAAATGCACCAAGTGATTCATCCTCTCCGGGCAAAAGCGGCGCTTGAAGTTTTCCATTCAACTCATTTAGATCGTTAACATGGAAACTACTTAAGAAAAGCAAAACAGCTGCAGATGAAAAAAAGGCCCCTTTTGTACCTTTTTTTTCTGCTCGCTCCAGTTGAGTTCTTTGGCCATGATGTCCACGATGCGGGGCAGGGCCTCCTCGGCTGCCTGCACGTTGAGGAAGGCCAGGCGGGTCCGTCGGGAGATCATGTCCACGGCCGTGCGGGCGTACTCCTTCACGCCATAGACCACCTAGGGCAGGGAGGCAGGGGGGGACTGCAGGGCAGGAAGCAGCCAGGCCCTGCCAGGAGTCACGCCTGCCATCACAAACCCCACTCCGGGCTGGCTGTGCAAATCCAACTCTCTCTCACTAGTTCCCACCCAACCCCGAGAAGGGTGCAAAAAGCTCCCCTTTTTCCTTGGAACGCTTTGTAAAATGCATCTGGGATCAAACGTGTATATGGGAAATGAAAAATAGACATGAGATTTAAATATTTAATTATATATCAACATGAGGAAGAGGAGACTGAGGGGAGACCTCATCACTCTCTACAACTACTTGAAAGGACACTGTAGAGAGGTTGGGGCTGGTCTCTTCTCACACGTAATTAACGACAGAACGAGAGGGAACGGCTTCAAGCTCCAACAGGGGAGGTTTAGATTGAACATTAGGAAGGAATTTTTCACTGAAAGAGTGGTCGGGCATTGGAATAGGCTGCCCAGGGAGGGGGTGGAGTCACCATCCCTGGATGTGTTTAAGGGCCGTTTAGATGGGGTACTGAGGGACATGGTGTAGGGGAGGGCTTTGTAGAGTAGGGGAGATGGTTGGACTCGATGATCCCAAGGGTCTCTTCCAACCTGAATGATTCTATGATTCTATGTTAATATGTGTAGATATAAATATAAAAATACAGCATGCTCCAGGGAATGGGAAAAAACAGGAAAAAAAGATCCGGACCTCAAAGGAACGGGCTTACAGAGATGTTTTACAGGTGGGAACCTGCTTATCCCAAGAAGAGAACCAAAGAACATGATGAAGTTTTTCCACATACCTCAGCTTCAATGTAAGGAAATTCAGATACGAGGCGTTTCCCGACGATGGGCCATCTCTTCCCTGTAACTTGGGCTATTTTGGCCACCTCAAAGGCCTTGTCTCCGTACGTGGCAGCCAGATGCTGAGCCACCTATGGGGTTGGAAAGGAATTCAACATGCTTTTGAAAGCACATCAAACATACACATATTTTTCTCATCAATTCTCTTACTAACAATAGCAAAGAAGCTGAAGAAGGTATTAGATTTTGAGTGTGTGGGAGAAACTGCTTGCACTGGGAACGGGTCAGACCAGCACTGACACCACCGTGTGTGTCAACACAACTGTCACCAACGATGCTCCAACTCCTCTGCCACGCTGGGGTCACACCTGGAGGGGGGATTTTGTTGGGAAGACAGACCCTACCATGTAACATTTTAAAGCAGGAAACAGCCAGATTAGGAGGAAGAGAAAAGGGAAGAAAAGAGGAATAATTACTAGAATTTCTTTTTGTTAAACTATCTTTGCCCCAGCCAGACAATAAGCTCTTTGCAGGCTCAACACACCTTTGTATGGGTTATGCTGGTAATAAATTTAGGGAAAAAACCAAAACCCTCCAACAAAGAAACACCAGAGCATCCCCAGGAACCACCACTCACCTCGCTTTCTAATCCATAGTCTTGGACCAGCCTGATGTAGAGGGTGGGACTCCACTCCTCGGCCCCTTGGAGCTGCAGCCCAATGGTTTTACTGGACCCCGCCTTCAGGTTGTGTGCCTCAATGGCAGCATCGATGGTGTCCTTCGCCATGGCACGGTAGGTTGTCCACTTCCCACCTGGAACCACACATTTGGGGAAAGCAAGGGGAAGAGGCAGTTGGTACGTACTATACATGTTTTATATATCCCATGATTCTTCCTCGACTTGCTCCAAGAAGCCAGTCGTGCTATCCCTGACAGGTCATTATCTACAGGAACAGGAAGGATTATCCTGTAACATGACCAGTTTTGAAGAAAATCCACTGGGGAAGCCTGGTGAAGCCATACTTCAGAAGCTGCAGTACCTGCTATGGTGACCAGGCCACTCTCGCTGATGGTGACGACGTGATTGCGGGATATCGACTGGGTGTCCTTGGAGTTGGGGTCTGTGACCAGGGGACGGATGCCACTCCACGCTGCCAACACGTCTCCTCTTCTCACTGCCCAGGACCAAAGATCAGCCTCAAAGTCAGCAGGAACTGGTTGGGTATTTACCTCATATCCCTCCCATGGTCTTTGTGGCACTGCCTCCCAGTAGATAAACTCCTTTTTTCCGCTGTGAAGCCAGTACTGCACCACCCTGTGCTCGTTGGTTGAGCAACTCAAAGAGCTGGAGAAGATCCTCCAAAGCAGCACAATAAGCCGTGCTACACAACTAAACCCAGCCCTGATCGGTATTTTGTTGGGAAGACAAAGTAATATTCTCTAGCCCCAAACAGACAGCAAGATCCTATTTTTTCTATGCTGGTTAAAAATCCAACAGAACAGAGACATCCTGGAAACGGATCATCCGAGAGAGGTTCAACTGTTGGACTCACCCAGCAGCAAAAAAACCCCAAAACCCAAACCAACCCCCAGCACCCAGCCTCCTCCACGTTTGCTGGTGCCACCTGGACAGACCTTACATGGCATTTTAGAAACCAAAAGGAAGTTTGTCCAACAAGAGTGTCACCCTCAACAACGGTACAAATCCACTCCAGCCTCTCAAAGTCACTTTTTAAAAATATATAAAATGTGGGACCACTAGGGAATTTAATGCAATGAATTCTGCTGCTTATTAAATTTGTGACAGAAAAATTGGCTGATTCACTTTATAACGAAGTCTTTGAAACATATTTTTTTTTTTATACAACTTTCAAACAAATGATAATTGAAAATCAGTAAAAGGGTGTAAAAATATCCCCTAAAGAACACAAAATAGATTTCAGGAATCAATGGTGCTCCGCCAGCATGTTTAACCTGCCAAAATGAAGTGTTAATCACAGAAATAAGATACCATATTAGGTTTATAAACTAATGAAACTAGAAAAAGCAGCATGCGTGACACCGTAATTAAGCAGCTGGAGCAGAGCCAAGCCTGTGTAAGTTGATAACCCTGGCAGTGTCTCTGGCAGCAAAAAGGCAGGTCTGCAGCGGGTTGATAGGGCCGGCACAGTTGTTAATTCAATAAGGGGCAATCTATAAACACCGCTAATTGCGGATGTGGAAACCAGCGGGCACCCAGGTGGGTTTCAGTCCAAAGAATAAACCACTTTGGAACGTGCTTCTGGAAATACCTTGCAAAAATCTCTGTCTTATGCAGTCTTAACTCTGCCTGTCCAGCCTAACGCTCTCATGGAGAGCGACTTCTGCTCAAAAACCCTAAAGGCACGTTTCCACAGACTTCTTCTGAACTTTACAAAGAAGAGTAGTGACAGGACAAGGGGCAATGGTTTTAAGCTGGTGGAGGGGAGATTTAGGTTAGATACTAGGAAGAAATTCTTTACAGTGAGGGTGGTGAGGCACTGGAACAGGTTGCCCAGGGAAGTTGTGGCTGCCCCATCCCTGGAGGTGTTCAAGGCCAGGCTGGATGGCTATTTGAGCAACCTGGTCTAGTGGGAGGTGTCCCTGCCCATGGCAGGGAGGTTGGAACTAGATGATCTTTAAGGTCCCTTCCAACCCAAACCATTCTATGATTCTATGATTTATACAGCACAGAGCCATGGATTATCCCCCTCAGGAAACAGCCAATCCGGCATTCCCAGCCTCTGGACAGGATGGGTTCCTACATCTGAGGATGCTGGAAAGCTCCTGAGCCAGTGCTCTTCAGATTTATTGTAATGCTGCTACTACAAGAGAAACACAGAAGTACAAGTGCCCTCACAGAATAATTTTAAAAGCTCACTGTAAGGAAAGAAGCCTCTCCTTTAAGCCAGCACTGAGTCAAAGCAGCGTCTTACCACAAACCTGTTCCCAGCTTAGCTACTGAAGGCAACAACTTAAGTGCTGGACCATGTCCAGAGGAGAGCCACCAAGCTGGGGAGGGGTCTGGAGAACAAGTCCTACGAGGAGAGGCTGAGGGAACTGGGCATGTTGAGTTTGGAGAAGAGGAGGCTGAGGGGAGACCTCATTGCCCTCTACAACTACCTGAAAGGAGGGTGTAGAGAGGTGGGGGTTGGCCTCTGCTCCCAAGGGAATAATGACAGGAGCAGAGGAAATGGGCTGAAGTTGGGGCAGGGGAGATTTAGATTAGATATTAGAAAGAATTACTTTCCTGAGAGAGTGGTCAGGCACTGGAACAGCCTGCCCAGGGAGGTGGTGGAGTCACCATCCCTGGAGGGATTTAAGAAACATGTAGAGGTGGCACTGCAGGGCATGCTCTAGTGCCCGAGATTGTTGGGTTGTGTTTGTTTGGGGGGTTTTGGGGGGTTTTTTGTTGTTTTTTTTTTGTGGTTGGACTTCATGATCTCGAAGGTCCCTTCCAATCATGAAGATTCTGTGATTCTGTGAACTGTCATCAAGTCATTTTTATAAATTCTCCTTTTTGCCCACTGCACTTTCCTCTCCCGCTGAAAACTGACACTATCAGACATTTACACTATCAAGAAAAGTAAATTCTAAGAATAAAGTTGCCTAGAAAAATGGAAATAAAAGCAAAGACATGGGAAAAGTCAAAACAACTTTTCCTTCAAGAAAAGCCTTTTTCTTAAAGAAACCTTGTCTCTGCCATCCAGAGAGCCCAGTGTGGCCACCGGGCAGCGAGCTCCAGTTACTTAAAGGTATGTGAAACCTGAACTGATTGCCATTTAAAAAGTCCAAACAGCAGGTGTATCTGGAAAAGCATCATGTTTTGGCTGTGGTGCACAGGCCGTGATGCCACTTCTGTCCTGATTGGTTTTAGAAAGACTCAGATGCACGAGAGCCAGAGAGACCAGGCACAGAAAAGCTTCAGACAGCCAGACCTGCCCAGACTGAAAGGCCACAGGCCCATGGGCACCTTCCCCAGGAAAAACAGCACCCAAGGGTTACCTTCAACGTCAACGCTAAGGTAGTTGCGCACTTCGTTCAAGATGAAGTTGATGTCCTCCTCCGTGGGGCTGGGATGGGAGGTGACGTCGGTGGGGCTGTCCGTGGTCCCTGCGATGGTCATCTTCTCCCAGGGCAGGAAGAAGATGACTCTGCCGTCGCTGGTGGCGGGGTCAAGCAGGCCCATGTTATCGGGGCTGAAACGAAGAAGGGATGGGGTTCAACAGGGGCCGGGGGTCACCAAGGGTTCTGTCCTTGCAAACCCTGTACCCCACAAAGTATCATAACCGTACCTTCGTTCTTAGGTCAAATAATTAAAAGAAATATTTAAATAAATCAGAGATTTCCCACGTGGCCATGAGCTGGCTTTAAATGGTAGCCCCAGAAGTTCTGAGAAATAAGGCCCTTCAAGGTGCTGCTCAGCTATTCCTAGCATTTGATTTCCTAAGCAGGTGAGCAGACCTCTACTAGATCGAGCCACGGCACCTCACACCTCCATTCCCTCAGGAAAGCCTGCCTCGCTGCAATTTCAAATATAAACATTTGGAAATTTTAAAACGGCAATTACTCGAGACTCGTTACGGAATGAATGACCGCTTTTAATCCAGAGCTGGACAATGCTCTATGTTACGCCACAACGGCACGGGGAGGCTGGCACAGAACACACAGTGACATGGAAAGGGTAAGATCAGAACTCAAGTTCTGTTTGGGTGTGTCTGTATAACAAGAAAAATTAAAGATGAAATATTATTGACCCAAATCATCAATTTCCTGAGCCCTAAACAGAGGACAAGAGTAAAAACATAAAAAATCTCAACGACTTCTGCAAATCCCAATAAAGGCGGGGCGGGAGGGGAAGGTTTAGCAATGGAAAGAAAAAGGAGAGAAAACAAGAGCAGAGGAAGATTGAAACCACAAGTGCTGGGAGAAGGTTGGAGCAGTAAATTCCCCGTGTCCAGAAACCTCCTGCCTCTCCAATGGGAACTCCTGGGGTCCCCAGGGATACGCTCCCACTGCTCCCAGCTCCTGCAGTTCTCAAAAGGGAACCAGATTTTGGGGGGAAAAAAAAGGCAAAAGAGACACTAATTGGATGCTACTACCCAGAGATTTGTCATGTATTTATGGCAGTGCCACAAACAGAATGATTCAGTTCTTCCTACAGCAAATTTTAATTTATGTATCAATGTTTTCTGGTACGACGTAAAAAAATAAAAATAAAAAATCCACAGGTACAAGCCCAGTTACCCTCACAACTTATGGAAGAGCTCTGCTGAGAGTTCAGAGAACAAAAGGCTTCTACAAACCCTTCAAAGTAAACAGCTTTTAGAGGAAAGCATTTAAGCTGCCCCTTTTCTTGTCAAAAAGGCAAGATGCTGACTTTCATCTCAGGTGCTGGAAGTCCTAAAACAACCTGCCTTCAGTTTCTGCACCTTTTCCCAAGAGCAGGACAATAGGGAAGACTCTGGAAGGAGGGCAGGAGGGAGGGATTTAGGTGGGAATAAGGCCCATCTGAGGGGAATAATTCCATGGGCTCCAATAACCACTTCCACAGTAAGCCGAAGGCGGACAAAGACCTGCTTGGATATGAACTACCCACCGAGGAGAGCTGCAAGCAGGACCATTGAATATTTCATTTTTTAGGGAGTCTAAACTGCTTACTGAAGGTAAGTTTTCAATATCTGGAAAGGCTAGAAGAGAAGCTGAAAATTTCATATATAGCATGTATATTAGAACATTTTTTAGATGATATTTATAGACCGCTTGAGCATACAGATGGAGAAGTACAATTTAATAGGGGAAGTCAACACAGATTTGTGAAAGGTAAATCACGTCAGACAAATGATTACTTTTTAAAATGAAAAAGCTATTGATTTAGAGACAGAGGAAACCAGAGATTTAATATACAGTATCAGAATATTCAGAAAACTTTATACATTTTCGCAAAAGTATGATTTTTTTTTAATGTGATTTCAGAAAATCTGTTAAAAATAAGGAAGAGAAACAAGTAAAGACTTAAAACTAAGTTTCACCACAACACCTCAGACTGAAGGGTTTGCAACTAGATTTCACAGGAAATGATGGCTTCACTGAGGGCAAACTGGGCCTTCAAAAATGGTGGCCTTCTATGATGGGGTCACAGCAATGGTGGACAGGGGAAGAAGAACTGACATCATCTGCCTGGGCTTGTGCAAAGCACTGACACTGTTCTGTTCGACATCCCGGTCTCTGGATTGGAGAGACAGGGATTTGATGGATGGAACCACTTGGTGGATGAGGAACTGGCTGGATGGTCACACTCAAAGAGTGGTGGTCAACGGCTTGATGTCCCAGTGGATACCAGTAGTGGGTAGGGTTCCTCAGAGGCTGGTACTGGGACCATGGTTGTTCAACATCTTCAACACCTGGAATTGGGGTGTTCAGCCTGGAGAAGAGAAGGCTCTGGGGAGAACTTCGAGCCCCTTCCAGTCCCTCAAGGGGCTCCGGAAAGCTGGGGAGGGACTCGGGATGAGGGAGGGGAGCCCTAGGAGGAGGGGGAAGGGTTTGACCCTGCAAGAGGGGAGATGGAGCTGGGATGTGGGGAAGAAGTTCTTTGGTGTGAGGGTGGTGAGAGCCTGGCCCAGGTTGCCCCGAGAAGCTGTGGCTGCCCCATCCCTGGAGGGGTTGAAGGGCAGGTTGGAGGGGGCTTGGAGCAACCTGGTCTGGTGGGAGGTGTCCCTGCCCAGGGCAGGGGGTGGCACCATGTGGTCTTCAAAGTCCCTTCCCACCCAAACCATTCTGTGATGAGAAAGGATGAAACAATTTTCTATATGCAAGCTCTCTCTCAATCTCCTAATGCTATGTTTGTTCCATCTTATATAAATAACTGTACAGCCACCAAAACAAATGAAAAATAAGGTGTTTCCCAACAAAAAGCAGCATATTAACACCTAAACATTGGCTGTTCTGGAGCACCTCTGGAGCCACGCTGCTGCACACCAGGAATGCTTGGAAACAACATGTTTTCATAAGACACGGATTCTGAAGATTACAGAACGGATGCGAGAACGTGGTACGAGCTCCAGCGAGATCAGCTATTGCAGGATTTCTCTAGTCATCTTTAAAGGCTACTAAGATGGGTAAGTTCAGGACTGTAAACTCTAATATGAAGTAGAAAGCAATGCCTTTACACAGAAATCTAGATGCAAATGGCCTTGGAGTATAATATGGATGGACCTGAGGGGACTCTGTCAGCAAAGAAACATCAAGATACGCAGCCAATAGTAGGATACTGAAGAGCTGACTTCAAACAACTGAAGAAGTTTGGAGTATGTCTACTTTTTAAAAAGCTTCCTTTTCCAAAAAGCAGTTAAATTGGACAATGTATGATCAATCAGGAGAGAATCTTGAAAACAGATGATTAAAGTACACCCAGAACCTGAGAACCTATAGACTCCTGAGCTGACGAAGATGCTTTAACTGAAGGACAGATCAGAACTCTTGAGCTTGAAATTTCAGGTTCATTCCTGGACATGAAATAAGAGCATTTCACAGAGCAGATGCAGGGGAAGTCTCTAGTTGAAGGTGCATTTGACCAAAGCACCACAAATGCACTTAAAGAACAAATCAGTGACTTTCCCTCGGGTAGAACTAGGGTGGAACAGCCAAGGTCACCTGGAGTCCAGAAGGCAGAGCAGAAAGGAAAAGTCAAGAAAGATGGAAAACATCTGAAATTTGTGAGAAAGGGAGGGGAAAAATGTACTGCACTCCTAGAGACACTTCAGGCAGGAAGGCTATCAGAAAAATGTAGCCAAACCCTTCCCTCGTGTTAGCAGATAATGTGCTTAAACAATAGGGAGTGAGAGAGACTGAACCGCAGTGACTGGAATAGAAACGTGTGTGCTAAAAATAGAATTAATGAGAGGAGGAATACTGGGACTATTAATGAAGAACATAAATGAGTAAGAAACCCATGGGAAATGAATGCATTAGGTTAACATTAGTTTTACAAAATCTTAATTATGTTTATATCTAAAAACCTCTACCTGTTAAAAAAAAATTGTCATTCGTGCGAGCGCGGGCCAAAATTCCACCAAACATTTCCCACCCGGGAAGCGGCCGCTGGAGAAGACCCGAGACCAGGAGAAGACCTGACAGAACCAAGGTGAAATCCCAGGAGCCTTCCCCATGGAGCAGCCAGTCCCTGGGCTGCAGCTCTCCCCCGTGCAGGAAGCGCGGTTGGATCCCATCAGCTGCGCTGCGGGGGCAGCTCGTGGGCAGAGCCTGTTCCACACGCAGAGCCATGCCCACACGGTGACACACACAGGGGAACCAGGAGAACAAGAATTCTCGGCACTTCCAATTAAAATTATTAGCTTATTACAGAATAAATAAATTGGAGCCCTCGCGCGCGTCAAGCCAGCCCCTGCTTTGATTTTACGAAGTGAGCCAAAGTTTCAAAGCTTCGCACGTTTTTGCTGTAGGGCCATGAAGTCAATCACTCACGTCCTTCTCGTGGTACGTGAGGAAAAGAGAATTACAACCCATTTCCCCCACACTGCTCGGGCTTTAAAGCAGCTCTCAGCTCATTTTCCCATTTTTCAGGTGGAAAAATAACCAAAAAAAAAAAAAAAAGACCAGAATGCGAGAGTGATTTTAGACTAGCCCCAAAATGCCTCAATTTTACAGTCTCTGGCCGTGTCCTGTTGGGGACACCTCCTGCAAAACCAACCCATTGTGCACTGGAAATGGGAATTCATCTTCCCAGAGGAGCAGGCTGCTGCCATGGAAGGCATTATTGTAAGTGCACTGTATCAACAGAACCAGGCTAAGTCCATAAACGTGAATTTCCATTAGGATGCTAATGACTTCAGGAACCAGAGGTAATATTTGAGTTTCCACTGACAAGGCTTTTTCCTTGGCAGAAGGGGGTTTGGTTTTGCAGCAGAAATGAGGGAAGCAGCAGGGATGGGCAGGGGGGCTGGCAGGGTGCCACGGGGACCTCCTCTGTGACACAGTCCCACCAGAACCACCACGGGAGGGTGGCCTTGTGTCCACAGCAGCACCAGAACTTAACCCTGTCACTTTGAACTACTTCTTACACTGCTGACACCCTGTGTTCTCATTTACCACGAGCAGAGTCACAACGTGGCACAGTCACAGCACACAGAGTTTCAGATTTTTGCCCCGAGAAGCTGTGGCTGCCCCATCCCTGGAGGGGTTGAAGGGCAGGTTGGAGGGGGCTTGGAGCAACCTGGTGTGGTGGGAGGTGTCCCTGCCCAGGGCAGGGGGTGGCACTGGATTGGCTTTAGTGTCCCTTCCCTCCCATCCATTCTGTGACTCTATGACATTTAATAGGACAGGAGGTTTTGTATGAAGGTGGGAATCTCTCTGGAAGGTTTTAGATGCTTCGTGTTTCCTGAAGGGGGGCGAACAAGCAGTCAGGACACTCAAGGCAAACTCATTATTAAAAAAGGTGCCTTTCACCAGTCTGTTGGAGATGCTCTGCCTAAAGGCCCCTCTGCTTCAGCAGGAGTTCTGCCCTGGTGAGGTTTAACTAAGAACTACAAGACTTCAGCCTTTTCCGAATATATTAAATTGTTCTAATCAGCACAGTGCCAGAATCCTCTTTTAAACAACAAAAAAAATATAAAATTTTGCATTCAAAACTGCCGTAAAACCCAGAGACGGGTCTCTGCAGGTTTATTTATTAAAGACACCAGCAGAGAAGAGTCCCAAACGGTTGGGGCTTTGAGTAATGGCGTTACCTGTAGTAGCCAGGCATGACGATGTGCACGCCCGCGCTGGGCTGACAGATGTTGGGAACTTCCTCATCATCCATTTTGCGCACCGAGTCTGTGAAGGGGCCCGTCGCGTTGATAACACACTTGGCTTTGACATCAAATTCCTGCCCTGTGAAAGAAAACAGTATCAATCACGGCCCCCATTTGTTTCCCCGCGCGCTGACACCCGCCGTTATTAATCCCTCTATGAACTTCACCTACTGTAAAGCACACCCTGCTTGTCTGAACAGCACAGCTGGCCGGGTGTTAAAAATTAACAAAGTTTTCACGTAACACTGGATTTGAAAGAAAATGCTTTACAGTCAAATTCTTATCTGGAAAGGCAGGAGGAGGCGGAGCGGGCAGAGGAAGCCGAGCTGAAATCTGCCTCTCGAGCCAGAGGGATGGCAGGCTCAGCCCACAGAGGTGGGCAATGGGGTTGCTGCTGCAGAGCAGGCAGAGCTTTACACTGTCACCCCTGAAGAAAGGGTTTGGGTGTAAAGCTCAGCCCGACCCTGCCCAAACCCTGGGATGGGAGTGAGAAGCTGAGAGGAGTCAGAGCTGACTGACATTAACACCACAGCCCCGCTCCCGGGGAAGGCGGCCCCTTTCCCGGTTGGGTGATGTTCACAACCAGCAGTGGCTCCTGCTCCTCCCTCCCACCCTCAGCTCTGCCTTCCTCTGAGGAAGAGGAAGCCGTGCAGAGAGCCAGGGCTGCCCCCAGCCAGACGGACAGACAGACAGACAGTGGGTGAAGGCAGGCAGGGGGCTGCCACCGGGTCCCCGTGCCACCGTGCAGCGGATGAGAATATTTGATTCAGCAGCTTTTCAAAACTTTACTGACAAGGTAAGGCAGCTCCAGAGGTTGGGTTTCAGCAGCACTTCATCATTAACCAGCTTAGGGGGGGACAAAGTGAGTAAATGGAATAACTGAAGAGTGACTTAGTTCCAGATTTGCAGATGGCCAGATTCACACAGACTGGCTAGAAGGGTCCCAAATAAACACACACGTGTACGAGCAGAGGTACAAATCACAGATTGATGCTCATATATGTGTGTATCTAAGCAAAGCATATCAGCACATGCACACACACAGGTCTCCGATTGGGAATTTCTCGCTCGTGAGCCAGAAGGTGTCCTACAGGTGCAGGGATGGACAGAAGAGCATCCCCAGCCATAAAGCTGATGTGCACAGAATCACAGAATGGTTGGGGTTGGAAAGGACCTTAAAGCCCCCCCAGTGCCACCCCCTGCCCTAGGCAGGGACACCTCCCACCACACCAGGTTGCTCCAAGCACCCTCCAACCTGGCCTTGAACACACACCATATGGGTGGAAGGTGGGTGAGAGAGAGAGACAGTCTAGAGTTAAATTTTCTCTGTCTCAGAAATAAATATTCCTGTAAGTACTGAGTAAATACTCATGATGCCTCAGCATTCCTGAACAGGCAGTAGTTGAGGCTTGAGAAAGGTCTTCTGCCTGGCCTCGAAGTGTCAGCCTGAGAGGTCTCTCAGCTCAGGGGAGTCACTGCCCATGGCCCACTGCCATCCAGGAGAGCCCAAAGGGTCTTTACTAGAATCACTACTTATAGGATCCATGACATTGACTTTTGTGAGGCACTTTTCCACTTTGGCCCAACTTGGATGATAGTTATGGAACCCCAGAGCTTACTAGATCTTGGGGTCCTGGTTTCCCCCTTACTGTGGCCATGATCCACACAGTGTCAGTAATTATCTCCAAGCGGTAGGAGCCGTGGGGACCAGGAACACTGCTGTGTTCTTGGCCCATTGCTCTCTATCTTTTCTTTCTTTCAGGTTAGACCATTATGAGGGTGGTGAGAGCCTGGCCCAGGTTGCCCAGAGAAGCTGTGGCTGCCCCATCCCTGGAGGGGTTGAAGGGCAGGTTGGAGGGGGCTTGGAGCAACCTGGTGTGGTGGGAGGTGTCCCTGACCAGGGCAGGGGGTGGCACTGGATGGGCTTTAAGGTCCTTTCCAACCCAAACCATTGTATGATGACGTTACGTTCTGGTCCATCGCGTTGTTTCACAGCCCAGGCTGGGAGGGGGATCACGCCAAGCACTGCGTGGCCTGAAGCCGGAGAAGAGGGGGGAGAAGGTTGCCCCACCATGAGCCTGGAGGACACACACACAGACAGAGGTCCTACCTGTCAGGACGTCCCTGCAGCGCACCCCGCAGACCCGCTCCTTCCCGCTGGCCGGGTCTGTCCTCTTGAGCAGGCGCAGCACCTCGGTGTAATTGGCGGTGGCAGCGCCGTACCTGGCAGCGGTGAGGGCGATGGCCAGGTTCATGCGGGCGTCGTTGTGCTGTCCTGCAGCAGGGGGAAGGACACCAGTCACCTCCAGCCACGCACCCGCGCTATGGGAGCGTGTCACAACCCATCTGTCACGTCTGGCCCCGTCACATCCAATAGACCTGATGGCTGCTCCTGTCCCAGGAGGAGTATTTAAAGATACATCCCCTCCGCTGTGCCGGCAGCAGCACCACCAGCCTTCTCCTCCCGAGACCCCCGACACCGAGAATCACCCCTCTGTGGCCTCAGTTAATTATGTACCCTCAGTTAATTATGGACCCCGTTTGAGGGGCCAGCCAGAACCAACCAACAACCCCCGGTAGCAGAGGCACCACACAACACCCAGCACCTGAGAAACCACCTTTCAGAGACTGTGCCAAATTATCACCTTTCTCTAACTGTTTGGTTTTTTTTTCCCTTGTATATGCATTTTAACTTCCCAACATACAACATAAAAGCATCAAAAAGAGAGAAATAAGCAGACAAGAATTAATGAAGGATTCTTAACATATATCATTAAAGATTTATTACCGAAATTCCCTCGTTAAAGAAAACCAAGAGAGAGGCGGAGGGACCACGAGGGGAAGATGATTAATTACTTTGAAATACTGGCTTCACCTGAGACTTTTCCTATTTATTATTGCCACCGGAGTTAAAGTCCTGGATGCTGGCTGGAAAGAATTACTATACATTGAAGGGGCCAGGCTCTGTGTGTCCTGAATAATTAATTCAGCAGAGGGCTAAACTTCCCGAGGTACGGTTCACTTCCCCAAGTGTTTGAACCGCTTCTATCAAAGATAATACTGATAAAGTGATAAATTTGTAATAGATATTGTAGTTGATTTATGTTGCCAGCGTTCCCAACGTCCGGTATAAATGGTTTATGTAAAGTTTGGTCCTTCTGATTCCGCCTGTGCAATCTCCAACCGCGGCGCAAATGATCTGTTCCTCGCTATAAAGGGCACAGTTATAAAGATGGGATCAATGGCCTCGGAGGTGCCACCTCCCCTCCCCAGACCCCTCATTCTGAGGCAGCAGACGGCCCAGCGCCATCCGTCTTCGGCTACCAGAAAAAAAAAAGAAAGTTGTGGGAAGCGTAGAGAAACAGAAACATGATAAAGCACCGATGAAGAAACAAACAGTAACTCCAGCCCAGCTGCGCAAACAATGCCCGGAATAAACTGCGGAGGAGAACAGGAGAAGAACTGAGCAAGGTGTCAGGAAAAGTTGGGGCCGCTCCATCACACAAGGGGCATGAGACTAAACAACCATCCGTCAGCAGCGCCCGGCACATCAGTAAATGAATGCATCACCATTTATGCCGCGGCGGCGGCAGGGGATGGAGAAAATGACCTTAGGAGGTTCCCCTCAAACCTTCCCGTTTGAAGGCAGGGCTGGGAGAAGGTACAGCTCGTGTGTAGGGGGAGCACGAGATGGGAGAGAGACAAAGAAGAGCCCCAAGGTGCATTAAGGAGCTGCTTCTGAGCAAAGCAGAACCCAGCACGGACTCCGGAGAAACGCAGGGGATGCTCCTCCAGCCCCTGGTCAAAGGCTTTGGGAAGAGCATTGCCCTGGAGACATCCCTGGAGACATGCCTGACCCACGGGATACTGCAGGGCTCGGCTTCAGGGGGTGAGAAATCCAGCACAAACCAGAAACACCCCCCTCAAATCACTCCAAAGCACCTCTACCCATGCGCTAGGATTTATTCTGGTATTGCAGAAGGACCCGGGGGCCAAGAGGGTTCCTCCGGTTACTTGTTGATCCATCCCTCACCAGTTTGCTCTTGCTGTCCCGTTGAAGGTGGTAGCCAAGAGGAACGGCTCCTCCCCGGCTCTCCCGGGCTGGGGTTCATCACACAATTTCCAGTGTTGGCCAATATTAGCTTTGGTCTATGGGAAGCCTTTTCTGTTTAAATTTTTCAAGTTTGCCTCCTCCCAGTTTCGTGACTTATTTGTCCAGACCCAACGGGATCCGGAGAAGCCAATCAGCAGAATAAATAATGTGGAAACAGGTGTAATTTCTCCAAAGAACAAGCATCTAAGTAACAAGTGGTGGTTAAGCCCCAGATCCGAGAGCTCAGGAATCTTATCATGCGTGGAGAACACCCCTGCAACAGTTTGGTACAGACTGGGTCACAACACAAGAGTTTTTTATACTCTGGAACAGCTTTTTTTTCACTATTAAAGCCCTCCAACTCACATGTGCACATTTCCCCCAGATAATTACATTAAAATCCTGCACTTTACAGGCAATTACTTTTTTGCTTGATGTCTGAAGAAGCAGCTGCTGTCCCTCCATGCACACCCCCTGTTATAAAGGCACTGGAGCCAGATCAGCCCTGACCACAGCACCACTCACCGTTGTCAAATCAGATTTTCTGCTGATTAAAGTAAAACCAGCTCTTTACACGTGTGCTGCTTTGGAATCAGGAATGATTATTATTCCAAAACGTGTGTCAGTACTGAGCTGAGCTGTCCCACTCCAGAGAGAGATGGAAGGATGGCAACGTGAAGACTCTGCATCTCAACCTTTTTGACTTTCCAGTTAAACCCCCAGGTAAGATTTAGCAACCCCCAGACCCAAGACAAAATCGCCTCCCAGCTGAACCCCCTGCAGAGCAGACATGTAAAGCTTTCCTGACTCCAGCACTAGCAGAGTGCTCAGGAGATGCCCAGGAACCCCAAGGCACAGCTGTGTGCTAAAGGCTTCCACGGGGGGTGCCTACTTCAGATAGCTCTGCACCCATGGCCCTTCACAGCAGTCCCCGGAGCTCCACAATTACCCCCTTTTGCTACCAGAGGTAACCCCTCTATGACACCATGGGGCTTTTTTCCAAATGTTGTCAGCCAAAAAGCTATTTTACAATGGCTAAACTGCCTTATTTGGCATTCTTCTCCATCAATGAGTAACCCCTGAAGATCTCCAAACTCACCTGTAGGCAACACAGAGAAATTCTAATTCTGACATTCACCACCACCAGATGTTCACCAACACCCTGCCCTGGAGAAGTCACTGCTGCTCCCATCACATTGCTCCAGGGCTGGGCTTGAGAGCGCTTCTTTCTTGTACCCATGTCAGTTGTCAGCAGGACACATCCCAAGGTCAGTGAGATGCAACCCAAGGTTGGTGAGATGCATCCCAACATTGGCAAGATACATCCCAACGGCAATGGGACACATCCCAATGTCGGCGAGACGCATCCCAACATCAATGAGATGCATCCCAATGTCAATGGACATGTCCCAACGTCAATGGGACATGTCCCAACAGCGCTGTGAGGGGCAGCCACATCTCAACATCCCTGGAAGGAGGGTCCAAGAGCCAACTGATGGAATGTGTCGAGTTGTCTTTGCAACTCCTCCCGTGGTAGCTCTTGAAAATAAGAGGATGTTTAAATCCTTTCAGTCATTTCTAGCAAGAAAAGCTGAAAGAATCATCCATCTCAATATTGACTACTGTCACCTGCTTGTGATACAGTAACAATGGAGCCACACTTTCATTCTTATTGAGAGCAGTCAGCCCAGCTTCTAACAAACCACTGCCCTAAGTGCTTTCATTAAGTTAGCACTGCATCCTCTTAAATTACCCCTCATTCTCAGAAGGCAAACTGCAGAAGACATTTAGTGCGTGAGGACATTTTGTGTAAGTCTGTCCTACACCACGTTGAGACCAACAGTGATGCCATTTGGTTTATAATTTCTTTTTTTTGTGTGTGTAATTTAGGAAAATTCTATTTTCATTCCTTGGTAGCAAATGCTGTATTTCTCCAGAGCTGAACAGACAATGCTTCCGTTGGCACCGAGAGCCTCCTCCCCCGGCGCACACAGCGTACGTTCCAGTTTATTTTTATCGCTGCTGAGCCGGGGCCAGCAGAGACAACAAAGCCCCCAGACTGCAGGGATGTGGTTGTGCCTGACTGGGGAGAGTTGTGTGAAAACCACGCTGCTAATAAGGCACTCTGCTCCTTCTGCTATGGTCTGTCCCGTGGCACACTCTGCCACCCGGCACTTTTACACCAGGTCCTGCTTGCTCCTCTGCCAACCCGTTCAGCTGAAGATAACCAGCACACAGAAGCCAGTGACTGCATTTTAATTTATTTTTTTTAAGAAGCTGGAAGCTGTTTTAACCCTAGGAAGCAACTTTTGCTCTGTTAACCTGTTTTTTGCTAAGAAGGAACACTTGCTCAGCAGGTGTACCTGTTGCACAGCGATTAGGGCTCTAATAATGCACACAAACATCATTGTTTTGCCCCAAATCCCTTCTGGCGGGTCCTGCAGCCACATGGCTCTAATTTGGGGCGTCACAAACTTCTTGCTTTAAACAAAAGGTTGGTCCCTGGAACAGACCCGAAATCACAGAATCACAGAATCACAGAATCGTAGTGGTTGGAAGGGACCTCAGAGATCATCGAGTCCAACCACAAAATCCTCCTCACCCTTCCTGAATTTACAGCCCTTGCTGATTTTAGGCCCAGCCAGTTACTGCCGGGGAGGTCAAGTTCAAGGGTGAGCTGGACACCAGCCATGCGAGAGGCCCTGACAGACTTAATGAACCTTCCCAGGAGGGCACGTCTCTCCACAGACCCTTCTCCTCCCAAAGGAGAAGAGGAATAGTTGAAGGAGACCACTAGGCCCACAGTACAGCCACAATTTTATATCCCTACAGAATGCAGCCATACTAATAACTAGGGTTAGGGTTTTTTTTCCTTTTAAAAAGCTGAGGGGATAAAGGCAAACTACATACTCACAAATTAATCTGCTGCTTGTGTGTTACTGCTTTACTGCCACCAGTGAGCTGCGCTGATTTAAGGAGAAGACTGAGCTGCAGGCCACCAGCAGTCCCTTGGATTTGGAACGTACCCCAAACCCTACCACCCGGCATCCCAGCAGGGATGTTCCTGCCTCACCACAGTAACGGCACCCTAAAGCACCCAGATTCCAAAAGTTAATTTAAATATATTATTACCAAACCTAAACATTACAATCGTACATCAGCCCTGCAGCAGGGAACTGCAT